CATAATCAAAAATTAATAATCATAGTAAGACAGCCTGGAGATTCGGCATGAAAAGAAGACGAGGACTCCCTCCACCGCCGGAAGTCAGACACATCACCACAAGATTACCTTTAGACCAGGGAGTCGTTTCCAAATTACAGACCAGTCAGACGACTCCAATCCGTGAGGGGAGCATCCCCCTCTCTCTCACGTCGCCAGAGAATCGACACACGTCGATTGGACAATGCCCGGCGACGGGCAGAGTCAAGGAGACGAGAAACCTTCATCATCATCATCTTAGAGTGTCTTAGAATTGGATACAACTTTAGGAAATGTCTACCATTTTAAAAATTAGTCCAGAAAGGTGTTCAGATAAACAAAACTTTGTGCTTAACTACAGGCAAGATACTAAGTGTTTCAATGATTAACAGGATGGACAGGTGATAAATAGAAAATGCGTGATCTGTGACGTAAGGAGTTTACCAGTATTTCACAAGCTCCATTTTAGTATATTATCTGAAGCGGTCACACTTTAACTGGCAAGGTCAAGGACTTTCGGATAACTTCGACTTGCCGCCTAACTACCGTATATGTTAGAAATTAAAACTCACTGTTTTCAATGTTTGGGTAGTTTAAGAACCCCAATGTTCATTTAATTTTAGTTATGTTATTTTTTATCCTGCGTGATATTGCATGAGTGACATCTAAAAAAAGCCTGAAAAAGGACAGAAAATTATTAATCAAATTCAATTCAAATATTAAAAAAAAAAAATAAAAATAAAAAAGAATCACTTTAAAGGTTGGGTAGATATTGAAATATATAAGCATATTGTGATTTTTATTTTAAGTTCTGTATTTGTAAATTCAATGATTTTATCTTGTAAAAATTTGTGATTTATATATGAAAATATCATTTTTCTTATTCTAGTGGAAATTTAATAATATGAAAATTATCATTTACATTGGAAGCATCTTGTTTGGTTTAAATTAAAGTTGACTTTCCCGGCTTATACACTTAACAAATAGACTTATGCAAAGTGTTGTTGTACGAAGTAAAAAGGGAAGTTAAACTATCAGACTATTTAGATTCTGCTGGTAAAGTCGACTTTCTTTAGATCTTTTTTATACATCTGATAAACACCTAACATTGAGGTATCCCACAAAAAACGTTTATGATATCTGATAAACACATAACATTTGGATATCTCACAGAGAAACGTTTATGATATCTGATAAACACATAACATTTAGGTATCTCACAAAGAAATTAATTACTTGAAACGTCTTAAATACTTTGTAATTTGTATGTTATATATAATGTGAGTCAGGCACTGCCTGGAAGAACAAAGCTTTCATGCCACCATGACATTCTCGGTTGAAAGACTCAAGAACACGTGACACCAGTAATTCTGGCTAACTGGTTATTGCTTCACAACAACTTCAGGAAAGCCAAAACACTGTCGTAGTTTTTTTTTTTTTTAAAATTAAAGTTGGCTATGGGTAAAGTGTAGAATACCTAGGCTTCGTATCTGGACGATTTTTTCTCCGATGGATCAAATCCTATTACATCTCGTCCTGTACGTGAACAAAACGTGATCTTACTAGTATATAGCTCCGCTCTTATAATTTATATATAAAAATAGTGATATTGCTCGGTCAGAAATATTTTTGTCACTCTCATGTTGAAATATTGTCATTCTATTATATTACAGTTTTGTTAGGTGTTTTATAAACTATATACAGGACTGTCTAATGCCATTCTACGAAGAATATATAAAAAAAATACTTGTTTAAACATAATATTATGAAGATCGACAGCGATCTTCATTGCTGACATGTTTCACCAACATTTTTGGAAAATTAGAAATTTTACTAAACTAGATAGCTCAATGACATTTCTGGAAAACTATATATATCACTTGCATGTATCCATAGAAATTTGTAGCATTCTTGGGCGAGTGCACCTCCCCATTTAGACTTTGAAATTTATTCTTATGTATTTTGATTTTCCTCGGTCGCACCAAGGTTTCAAAGTTAATGCCCTTAGCATCACTGATGAGTGCTAGAAACAGCTATATGGTCAGTTTAATTCTTTATTTTGCCCTCATGTAACTGGCCTTGAAAGGTGCTATTTAGAGTCTTTTGTACAATCTTGAATATCAATGATAAACCGATGATAGATGTACGATTGTATAACTAATAATCGTACTCCGGTTTTAAGCTAAACGTGTTATCAAAACTTCTTCTTCAATGCAAGAAAATTTAAAGTAAAGCGGTCAATACGTTAGTTACAAGACAGTCTATATCTCGCCCACTTTAGATGTTAGAAGGGAGATTAAGAGACAGCAGATAATGAACTTTTCTCCTGTAAATATCAGCGAAGTTTTGAATTTTCCATAAATATTACGAAGGAAAGAAAATTCGGTAGATAACGGCTAATAATACGCTTCCGAAATTTAAACTGGATTTACATTGTACAAAGAGAGATAACTCTTCCAACTTTATCACTGGTTTAGTTGTCCGAAAATCTATTAATGAAAACATGACAAAATTATTGGTATCCTTTCGTGTAAATATTCTAACTTGAATTCAAAATAGCAGTTCTTGTATCAGAATTCATTACTTAAGTAAACACGTACATCACACGTATAAGTACTGGTTTCAAAAATTGTATTTGAATCCTTATTGTTGCAGCAAAGTTTTTTATGATCAAATTGATTTGGTGCCATTATACGGAATAGCTTGTAGATAGAAGAACCACACACACATCGTCACATTTGACTGGTTTACTTTTTCTTGATAAATGAAGTAAAAAGCAAGGTATTGTTAACTGAGGCGTTAGATAGAGATTATGGAAACATAAAAGTGAAACAGCCTTTTACGACCATTACCGGTGTTTGGTTTTAAAGGCGTGCGGATGGATCTTACATTCATATTATTGAAACTATATGATGAACGTCCCGCCCACAATCTACTCAAGTCGATTATGAAGTTTTAACGGTAACAAGACATCAGGTAAAAGTTACACAACGGTCACATTTATTATCCCAACAATTTTAAGACACCCGTTGATTATCCAATTTAACTCCTAACCCTGGTTAGTACCGGTTGTCCTGATATAACACTATTAACTGAGAGCCTCCTGACGTCAGGACTCGTACAATTAGTAATACGACTCTAAACTGGGAAATGGGACACATGTCATCTTAACGAGTTCCCTGCAAAATACTTTTTCAAGTCAATTAAATACATTTACGACCTAACAAGTATTGTTAATCTCACGGTCTATAACCGCTTCCTAAAACGACATACCTGTACATAAACTTTGATGTGTTGATGGGAGTAGGAGAGAAAGAATACTGGTTTAGAATACCGGAGTATTATTAAGAATGTTGTCGGGAAAATGTGTAATAATGGAATTATGAGAAGGATGGCATGCCTACCAGCATAGAGAACGACATATTCTTCATATTTTGTGTTTTTGTTGACTAAAAATTTTATCGTGAAAATGTATTTTCACATTTTTGTTATTAATTGGTTTGATAAAAATATGAAAATCAAATTCACACATACACAATTACCTTCTTTTGATTATTTTCTTCTTGTATTTCAGTTAATCACACTGTTAATTATACCAATGATATGCCACATGTACACCTTGAATTTAAGGAAAAATACCAAACTCTATGTGTCTTAGATAGTATTTATAACTTCGGGGATCACACAGCTAAAATAACAAACACGAGGAAAAACCTGGCATTGTAAGTAAAGAAAGTTACAACGTCGCATATTGTTGTTTGAAACACACACAAAAAACCCCGCCAGAGTTGGCTTTCTCCTTCCGGAATGACACACGTATACAAAATCTCATTCATCGTTAATGGCGATTTGTCTAATGATAACGGGTATGTCATTCCGGAAAGTGGAAAAAATGAGACGATCGGCAGGTTTTTGCGGTTTGAACAAAGCTAAATGTTTTTTAAAGGTATTGGTTCCTTGAGTTAGAAACAACGCGAAAAGGTGAAATGGCAGAAATCAGTCACCAATGTATGAGAATAAATTAATCTTTGTTCAGCATTTCAATGAAAAGGAAAAATCCTCCGACTATATAGCAAAGAACAAGTTTTATTTCTAACAGGTAACATTGATACGTAACACGTAAACAAGGTACATCATTATAACCATTGAATTTGCAACAATATTGAGCATCATATGTAAGTCATTCTGACTTACATGTGCAGGAACTATATGACAATATTTTTTTTTCTTTCCTGAATTTGTTCCCCAATTTTTTTTTTTGTTTCAAAGATGACCTTCAAGTTATCAGCTAACGCCAACCAATATCGTGACTTCATAACATATACACAAACACACGAAACGTCAACGTCACAGTTATTGATATGATGGATATTATTTCAAAATAGCACAATGCCTATTTAATCAATTTATGAATGCCCCTTGTATGCTGATTTACCGGAAGAGTTTCCTCAAAGTCTGGATCATCTGAATGATTGATATAAAGCTAGTATATGTGTTTATCTGAAGCGACGTGCAAAGCGTTGACCTGACGTTGGTCAAGATGGCGGCAAATTGAAGTCGTATTATTGTCTTTTAGTCTTGAATGTATATGAATCCATACTCTTGTGGATATAATCCAGTTAATAGCTAGTGGCTATAACACAAGTTGTAGATATAACAGAAAAAATCCACAAATCAGAATGATAACTGCAAAACGACAAAGTATTGATGTTTATCACAATGTTTTTGAGACGTGCTATCTTCTATCACACGGTATATCCTCTTTATATCCACCAGATATATATATACATTGTTTAGTGCATGATCGTCACATTGAGAAAAGAGAACATTGGACATACGTTCAGAGGACGAAACAAACTTCACTCGAATAAACGAAATGCATCAGCATGCCAGTGTAATGAAATTCTTAAGCTCACCTAGAAGTTGGTTTACTCGGGAGCTATGACTAACTTCCCTATGGAGACAGTCGGTAATGATGGAATTTATTCACTCTCCGGGACCGCCGTCTGGACGGGAGCTATATCACAGTGGGAGTTGTACGTGCCACACCGGTAGTAGTCTTGATCATCCGGTACACCGAGGCAGATGAAGCAGAATTTCTGTCCGCATACACAAACCATGTGTTTGCAAGCTTTCTCGTGTTGTATCAGCATCCCGCAGTTTGGGCACGCCCTGATAGAAGGACATCCTTTCAGGCCAACGATCTCCTTTAGCTTAGCTTCCTTCAGGATCTTCAACCTTGGGTCTTCGCCTGTACAGGCTGTGTTCCCACAGTTTGTGGTGTTGAAAGTCTTCCAGTCTCCAAGGCAATACCAACAGAACTCATACCTGGTGCTCTTACTACACGACAGACACACAACTCTCCGGTCTTTTGAGCTGACTCTCATGCAAAAGACAGAACACTGTGGACATTCCTGTATTCCAGCGGACTTCCTCATGTAGTTCTGTGACATTTTCGTTTCGAATTCTAACTTCTCCTCCTCTGTGAGAACGGCTAGTCGGCGGATAATGAAGTACTCCCAAGATTGTCCGCAATAGGCGCCATTGTCATGGTCTATGTACGGACAATAGAACTGGAACTTTCCCGCTGTCAGCAGACTCCGACAATACGCTGTGAGGGATTCAGGACCTGGAGTAACAAGACAACGACAATTTTAATGGTCTACTATTCATCTCTCAAGGAATTGAAATAGATCAAGATTCCTCACAGTATTTTTATATCCCTAGTTCGAATGAATCAGATAACAAAGTGGACAGAGAACGCGATGCCTATCTTGATTTGTTGTGATTCGTAGTCTGAAAACGACACCACCAATACATCATCGAGCTTCAAAATAGACCATATCAACTACGTATATTCAAACACATATCTCTAGCCAACATGACAATGCCAGTTACAGGGTATAAACATATATCATTATTCCATGAGTAGTTTTCAGAAACAACGCTTTGTCGACGCCAAGAAATGGCAAACAAGACACGCTTCTGAAGTATTACATCAACAAGGGGCACATTGGCCATAAAGTTCACCTGAGATCGCCAAGTCTTTGGACTGTTTAAGAACCATCAGTTCCAGCACTGGAGCAAACAGAACTGATATATGCATACTTACAAAGTTTTAATTGTTTCTAAGTTTAAAAGGTTTAAATTTCAATTAAACAGAACTGGAAATTGATTACACTGTCCGTGTTGTAGTTTAGCAAATTCGACTCCTGTAAACTTAAATGAAGGTCAAGGTCATTCATTTGAACAAACATGGTAGCCCTTCATCCCAGCATACCACTGGTCCAATACCATGATCCTTAGGCCATTTGGTTATTGAGAAGTCAGAAATGTATATTGTTTACAACAGACGATGGACGACGCCGAAAAAAGACGATAGCAATAAATCACTTGAGCTTTGTCTCAGGTGACCTACACTGGAACATAATGTGTACATAAAGATTACACAGAAAAAACTTACTTATGGCGTGTCCGCACGGCATTTTTGCACGTTTATTATCCGGATCATCGTCCCATGTGATCATGTCTGGGGCATCGCTTAGTTCTACGTCATCGTCCAGTTCTTTCAGTGGTGGATCCTGGTCATTGCCTCCCGGAAGTCTGAACACAACAAACAGCTCGGAGCGGTCTATAAGTTTGTAGTCTGAAATTTACGTTTTCTTCCCATTCGTCTCGGTTTTCAACTCCTTGCCTAAAAATGGTATTAAAATAATTATTTGAGAGGTCATTCTCGTATTTCAAATATAAACAAGATGTGTCTAAAAGTGAGGTAAATGAAAGATGAACATTTGAAATTTAATGTGAAATCGTACTTAAGATTGAGATAAGTTTAAATACAGCCCTATTATCACGTATCACACAAGAGTGCACTGGTACCGAGGATAACATTATTGTTATAACGAAATAACACCACCTCCCCCATCGCCCCGCAAAAACAGAAAACAAAACAAAACAAAAAACAAAAATGTCAAAAGTAAATATGGGTTTAAGAAGACAATACTACACAATCAAACATGAAATACAAAATGTGAGTCTAGGTGTCAGACATTAGATATAAAGAGTGATAATGCAGTGACTTAAAATACTGTAATTCACATCTGTTATGACGTCATTATAGTCCTAGAGACAGTGACGACACACCGTCTAAAAGTCTCAATCAACGGATTCCACTGATGGTAATAAAACTTATTTCACTTCACAACAAGACCTCATCTGCATTAGACAGGAACGTGTAAAGGGTATATATATATCTGCATTAGACAGTAACGTGTAAAGGGTATATATATATCTGCATTAGACAGTAACGTGTAAAGGGTATATATATATATATCTGCATTAGACAGTAACGTGTAAAGGGTATATATATATATACCCTTTACACAATGTGATGTTTGCCGGAAAATCGATATCATTTATCTAGCTCTTAAATTCCATTAACAAATAACTGAATGTTTCATTAGATATGAACATACCTGCGAACAATACACGCTGACTCTCCGCATCAATGCCGTTCCATTCCGTGATCTTCCTCATCAGATCTTCCGTAGAAGCATCCTTCAACATAAAAAGTGACGTTATTTATTCTGAGGAGTCTAGAGTATGTATTATACACTAAATAAAGTGAGATATGTTTTATGTTTCATTGTTTGGGTCGGGCCTAGAGAGTATGTGTTCATGTTTAAGTGTCAGTACTGTGTGTCGGGCCATCAGCAGTCCTATCAGTGACACTTTATGTACTTATCTGTTGAAATATGACACCGGAAATTAAAAAAAATATTCAGAATTACGCATTTAGTTAATTCAACCAATCAATGATTTAGGGCCTTTTCATCGGTGATATTTAGAAATAAAATTCTACTTGAGATATGTGTTTACTGATAAGGAAGGGAAATCACCTTCACCCTGCAATCTTCCAACATCACTCACAGCCCTCTCAGAGACACATTACGAACTATGACACTGGAAATTTCAAAATTATTCTGACTTACACACTTAGTTTATTCAACCAATCAATACTTTGGGGTCTTTTCAATTTTAAATACATCAACTTATAGAGAGAGTTATACAGACTAACCTTAGGGATCCAAAAACTGGTTTTCTTGTTGCCGGAGGAGGCGACGAGCTGTATGGAATCCGACATTTGAGAAGGTTTCTCCCGAGTGTACGTCTGTATCGAAAATAAACATGCATGGATTTACCTGAAACAAGAAAACGAAAGTACAAACCAATACAGTACAAAAAGCAAAGTGAAAGTAGGAAAATCCATTTGAAGTCTGATATAACTTATCGATATCAGTTTTTCAATAATTGATTATTAATTTGGTGGAACGTCAAGTAAGGCGTTCGGAAAAATGAGACGGGATAAACATCCTGAATTGTGTCCCCTCTTACGAACAATATAAAGGGACCAACGTGTACATTTCTTCTATTCCAACTTGTTACGTTTTGAAGCCACGTGTTCCGAGAGACACTGGTTTAAGATAGAGAAAAATCAAATACAAAATTGAAAATTTATATTCCAAGAAAAAAAAAGAAATCCTAGTTCTTTAAGGCCCACGATATTCGTCTTCAGCAGGAAGGGAAGTGATTTACATAATCTTTACAACAAGCATCAGGCACAATAACTATGGTCATGTTATTGGTGTAACTATTTGTATGTAAAACATTCCGTATCAGATATATGGTCCTTGTGCACGTAGTAGGTAACCTGATTAATTGAAGGTAAGAATAGAAGATGTTGGTTGTTTCAAACGTATAAAAATGAAAGTGAGATGTAAGGTATTTGTAAATATATAAATGGTATGAAACGGTATGCCCTACTTCAGAATTTTGTTGCAACCGGGGGCATACTGTTTCATAAAAACAGAAGATCACAATGCACAAGGGAAGCGTTACGGTACAGTTTGCGATGGTTCCAATGAAGCTGACCCTGATAGTCAAAGCTTATACAAATATATTTTCATCTCAAATCATTGAGAACGTTCTGAACTCAAGTGTACTAGAGTTAATAATTTCATACTTCAAAATTCCGTCCTGTCGGATTACAGCGTTATTTTCATTTCCTGACCCTGTGGTTATGTTTTCAGGTTTTCCTATTTGTGTCAGGTTGAATCGTTCGTGCGTAAAAAATGAAAACGAAAGTACAAACCAGAATGACATCAGTTATAGGTATCGATTTATAACATGTCTAAATATAGAAATCACATTTGATATCAATACTTTATAATTAATTAATTCGTATGAAAAACAAATACTGAAATGGTAATGACAAACCTTAAACTCTGGATTTTTTCTTTAACAAATACAAAGGTTCGGAATATTTGCGTTACAAACAGACATAATATTGTTGCTATATATAGCTCCACTACATACTTGACTTGTTCCTGGTTGTTTCCCATCATATCGAACTCTTACAGCGCATGTCTTCTTCATGTAATCATACCACAGATGTAATGATTGTGTGAACCCTTGACCGGACTAATCGGTGTTAATGAATGGAACGGAAAACGGAACGAAGGAAAAGAACGGAGCGGGATCGTAGCAATCCCTCTTATCATTCCCTACCAGCACACCACACAAGATTAATTAAAGGAAGTATTTCAGGGCATAATCAAGTATTAAATTTCTATTTTGATTTTATCGGGGAATAACTACTAAACTCAAATAACTACTAAACTCAAATAATTATAATTAAACTCAAATAACTACAATTAAACTCAAATAACTACAATTAAACTCAAATAACTTCAATTAAACTCATATAACTACAATTAAACTCAAATAACTTCAATTAAACTCATATAACTACAATTAAACTCAAATAACTACAATTAAACTCAACTAACTTCAATTAAACTCAAATAACTTCAATTAAACTCAAATAATAATAATTAAACTCAAATAACTTCAATTAAACTCAAATAACTTCAATTAAACTCATATAACTACAATTAAACTCAAATAACTTCAATTAAAGTCAAATAACTTCAATTAAACTCATATAACTACAATTAAACTCAAATAACTACAATTAAACTCAACTAACTTCAATTAAACTCAAATAACTTCAATTAAACTCAAATAACTTCAATTAAACTCAAATAACTTCAATTAAACTCATATAACTTCAATTAAACTCAAATAACTTCAATTAAACTCATATAACTACAATTAAACTCAACTAACTTCAATTAAACTCATATAACTACAATTAAACTCAAATAACTACAATTAAACTCAAATAACTTCAATTAAACTCAAATAACTTCAATTAAAGTCAAATAACTTCAATTAAACTCAAATAACTTCAATTAAACTCAACTAACTTCAATTAAACTCATATAACTACAATTAAACTCAAATAACTACAATTAAACTCAAATAACTTCAATTAAACTCAAATAACTTCAATTAAAGTCAAATAACTTCAATTAAACTCAAATAACTTCAATTAAACTCAAATAACTACAATTAAACTCAAATAACTTCAATTAAACTCAAACAACTACATTTAAACTCAAAGATGAATAAAATCGTTAACATACCTTAAGAGAGAAAAACATGTGTTGGATATATCAAGATACTATTACAATGAACGAGGCTTCATATATAAACACCTTTTAAGTGAAACCTATGTCGATAATCAACTACTATAGGTAGCCAGTTTATTAACTGGGTCCTATGACGTTGTTTTTCGAGACCAATATTGAAAAAATGCCAATATGTGAAGATAATCATAATTCAAACTCAAACAAAAAAGTTGGGTAAATATGAACGAAAGAAAGACCACGTGTTCCTGAAGAGTAAGCGTCATCTGCTTCATTTACAACACCCGCCATATAAACCTTGGTCACTCCAAATAAGTAATGCCATACTCTCAAATGAGAACAAGGGAAAAATAAAAAAACAAAAAACAAAAAGAGAAAGAAAATAAAATAAAATAAAAAAAAAACAAACAAAAAAGTCAACGAAGGAGCATCACACACGCACAGCTTTAAAATAGAATTATATGACCTTGAAATTCAATTTCCACTAAATTGAATCTTATGAAACCCTGGTTATCGAATTAATTGCATATGAAAACACCATCGGTTGGGGATGCACGGTTGCGATCCAAAAATGTAAAATTCACAATATGGAAGTTGAAATCATCACACTTATCATACTGCTTGGTGAAAAGCTGTCTGTGTTTGTTTCGTTGCAGGAAACGATAGAGATAAACGGCTGATGTAGTAAAATCTGTCGTGTCATTGATTTCCAATTCAGGTGAGGATATTCCATGGACGTGGTCAATAGATCTTGTTATTTAAAGACAAAATGTCATCAATATATAAAAAAATAAACGACTTTGAGTGACCTTTATGACTTCTTTCGATAAGCTCTTCGATAAATTCAGCCTCATATGAGAACAAACATAAGTCAGCAACAGAGGTGCACAATTAGTTCCCATAGATATGCCAGTCGCCTGTTGGAAGAACTTACCGACAAATTCAACGAAGATGCTGTCAACCAGACAATTTTCTATGATTTGGTATATATTGTATTTCCTCTTGATTTGGACGCATTTTTCATTTTTCAGTATAGGTCATAACCATATATTTGTACCGTCATTCTCCTTTCTTAGTAAAGAAGGCTCTCATAAAATGTGAACGGATACGTTCTTTCAGTTTAGAATGGGGTATGGTGGTGAAATGTTCTAGGACGAGGTAGTTGAAGATTGGCTAAAAGCTCTGTAGGGTTCTGTAAAACCTACATACTAATAATTCCACCTCTTGATTAAACAGTATCGCAATGAGACTGTAACAAAAATTTGATGGTACTAGGAGTGGTAGTAGGTAGTTTTAACAAAGGCTTGGTTAAACAGCAGTAAAATATTGTTTATGAGGATTAATATGAAGTTAAGAAATCCAGTACATTAATAGGCAATCTAAATAATCGTAATACTGAAACAAGATTAGCTAGTATGTTTTTCTTTGGAAAGATTTCATAATGTATATCCGTTGTTTCCTTCGTTATCAAACAAGTCTAGTTCTTTTTATCTGCAGGAAATGTAATATTGTCTGCAGGCCAAGTTGTCGGACGCCTTATCTGCTTGTCACGTAAATCTTGAGGTGTGGATGTAACATCAGGATCGAGGTACGCTCTCCTGTTTTTTTGTTTCCATTTTAGATTTTAAGCTGTTAAATTATGAAAAAATGATGAACCGAATGGATTTCACCCACTGAAAGTCAACCCAAAGCATCATGTCCTCCTTTCAACTATTCTCTGTCATAGGTTTTCAACGGAATCCATTCGTAACTATAACTGTAAGAAGTTACTGGAGTTTTTTAACTTTGAAATACAAGATAAAGTGAAATGTTAGCTTGAACAGACTTCTGATGTAAAATATTGCTGATGTTTTTTTTTTTTTTTTTTTGGAAACTCAGCTTTTATAAATTGGCGAGTTGTTAGAGGATGGTGGCTATCTGCGGGGACATGTTTAAGAAATTTAATTGTGCCACATCATCGTTGTTTCTATGAAGCTAGTTTTTCACAGATTACCAGAAATAGTGTAAGTTGAATATACGTTTCGTAGAGTTGTAAAAGTAAAATCACTTTTGGGTGCACCCAGTGAAATGTTATCTTTATTGCTTGATACAATATATAGAGGTTACACAACGAGTGGGCATTGTATATTGAATTTATTCAACACGAGTTAGTTATTTTTCAAAAGTTAAAACTTTTGAAAAATAACTAACGAGAGTTGGTTAAATTCAATATACAATGACCACGAGTATGTGTGACCTATTTCTACAACAATACAAAACATTGGCCGGGGCGATCAAATTGACATATTTTCTCACGGTTGTTTTGTTTACGTCTTCGCTTGATGCGCAAGAATATGACCCGAAGTGACTGTTGCTAATTAATATGCAAAAATGACAAGTCACAAAAATGTATTCAACTAATAAATAATTGATTACAGTAATAACGAACATATTAGGTTTAGTAATGCTCATAATAAATAGGTGTATGATAAAATGTTCTTTATCACAAATTTAATCATGAACTATTTTCTTTGCGGACTTATTTTGTTTAAGTCAAGTGATGTGTTTAGAGTTTATACCACGTGTGATATAAACAAAATGCTATTCAACAGTTACATTGATTATCCAATGCCCTGGGAGCTGAATAACACGAGGTATTGTGGTAGAAACCGTATTACTGTACACGATGCAGTTCATAAAATACACTGTATCAATGTATACAGTATACATACATTGTATATAATTGACTCTATCACTGTACACACGATATTTTGTATCAGTGTATACAATGTGCTGTATTATTTTATACAACTCGCCGTTTACTGATATTATATCCTGTTTTGTTATAAAGGAATTACTGTTGACAATGCATGATTTTTTTTAAAATTAGCATACCATTATCATCTGTAGTTTGTGGTTCGTCCGGTCGTCTCTTCGTAAACAATGTTCGTTATAACTATTTCTTGAGAGGTACTGAATGGACCTTTCTCAGATTTTATATACAGGATTTTCGTTGTCCTTTGTTATGCCTGTATTATTTTGGGACAGGCAGTCCATTGGATTTTGACAATGAAAGTTCGTGATCGCTATTTCATAGTAAGCACTCGCTGAATTTTTCTCGATGTAGATTCCTCTTGGTCCCTATTTGTGACCTTTTGATGTTTGGACTGATTGGAACACAAACATCGTGGACAAGTGACCATCTTGGATTTGGCATTTAAAATCAGAATCGTTCGTTCGTAAGAGAATTTTAAAAATATAATATATATATCATATTGAGAGGAGAAACAGATGAAGTATGAGAAAAGATGAGTAGAGATCCTACTCTTAAAAAAAAAATCAAACGATGGTGGGCAATGAATTAAGTGTACCCAGTGTACACCGTGTGTAATGTACTGTGTAACTAGACCCAATGTATACCGTATGTTATGTACTGTGTAAGTGTATGCAATGCACTGTATTACTGTACACGAGATAAAAGGTAAAGACACATTCAGATCATCAAAGCTTAAGACATTCTTTTTACTATTATATCACTGAATACATTTCAAAATACATGCGTTATGTAACCTACATCAGATGACCGATGAAAACGTATCACAATTTTTTTTTTATTTGGGAGTGGGCGGGGGTGGGGGTGGTCAGTAAATACAGGAGAGAAGCATTAAGTCCATCATTCTATCAGTTAAGTAAGAACCGGTATTATTTTTGTGTTACACTTTTGATATTTCTTTAACATTCAAGTACCTAGCACAATATCCTGATCTGATAACAGTCCATATTTACAGAATCCGAATGTTTTAGGTGTCAAGTAAAAAAGTAAAATCTGACATGATTCTACTATACAAGTCGTCCATTTAGGAAGCTTGGGAAGTCTACAATCATTCCTGGTGTGATGCCCTTCTTCTCCATATCTTCGCGTATTGATGGATTTATCCTCAAAAAATTATCAAGAAATTTCATGTCTACATCCCTATTCCCGGTTAGGAAAGGAACTGGGTGAGGTTGCGAGGTACGGTTTCCACTTGTTCTTGGAAAGTTTCCCGATGGGTTATGATTTGAAGGAATATGTCGTGTCCGGACGGAAGGGGCACTATCAAATTTGATATTAATTGTTCCTAAATCATCTGGATTGCAACCAGCTTTTATAAGGTGACTCCTGAGGACCTCGTTCCAATGAATCATGCGTTGTACACGATCTCGCATTTTGGCATTACTCTCAGGATTTCCAGTGTCCTCAAGAATGATACAAATATCACCGTTAGCGACAATGGTACGTATCGCGGAAACGTTTCCATCCATACAGAGTGCTAAAATATCATCTGAAAGAGTGGTATTACGTGACGGAATATTTTCTGGCACACTACTGGTAGCACTAAATAATTCAGCGGTATCAAAAAAATCTCTGTTGTTGATAGGCATTCCATGTTCAAAGGTAACAGGTTCAAGATGGTTGATAAATGTCTTTAAGCTATACACTTTCACCATGCCATTACTACCATCCCCGACCCAAAGTTGGTCGTCCCTCCCGACCGCGATGGTGCTTGGTGATCCTATATTTTCCTGGTCGTCCATCACAACAACGTTTGTAAGACGAGCTGACGTACTCAGTACATGAATGTATCCTGACCCGCAATCCAATACTAGAAAAGCATTGTGCAGTCCAGAACAGACAGCTCTCGGAGCGAACTGTGTTTTCGACAGTCCACCCGATCCGTTTCTGTTAGGAAAAGCTGGTGAGCGCCGGTAGGTTAAAACCCTGTCGTCATCCGGCAGCACGTGAACCACTCTACACTCCATGTCGGCAGTGCACATCCGATTACTGAACACATCAAACGCTAAACCGCTTATCTGTATGAACTCACCTTGAACGATTCTTGTACTCAATCGTTTCCGCTCTCGGTCAAAATCAATCAAATAACACCTACGAAACAATGATTCGTCCACGGATCTAGCTGCAACAATCATAGACCCTTCATCTCGGACTAGAAGAGAAGTTAGGATATAATTGTTCACAATTACATATTCAATTGGATCGGTATGTTCGTCCCCACAAACTAACACTGAACTGGAAAATTCTTCGATGACAAGTAGCGGCCCATCCGGGTGAATACACATGTCGATAACCTTGCCGACAGCGTATCGCATCTCAGTCACTGTCCCAGTCATACTGTATCTGTAGATGACGGGACCGTTATCAAACAGAACCCATGCCTCGCTCGCTGATACCGGTACGATCTTGGTGACTTGCGTGCTACTACCTCCCGCCGAACATTGGAACCCACCAATAATCTCCGCGTAGCAGCAAGACCTTGTGACTGCTCGTAGTGCGCTGATTGCTGTGCGTACTGCCGTATCTTCCTCTTGGACGAGTTCATCCTCCTGACTACAGCAACACTGGTCGTCCTGACCGACTTGTTTGGATTCATGTTCCGTTCTACATGTCCGACAAAACAATTGATCACAAAAGTTGCACCTACGGACATCAAATTTCGATGTTTTACAAACACTGCAGTTTTTTTTGTCCAACTGACAAGGTACGAAATAGTTTGATCTAAATCCCTGCACCCCTACGTGGGGAAGCCACACTTTTTCCCGGCAAATCGGGCATGAAAAATAATGTCTTTGACAGCTAGAGATATGCCATCTCTCCAAACAGCCGGAACAGAAGGTATGTCGACATGGCAAGAGTCGAGGGTCCCGATAAACTTCCGTGCAAATCGTACAGGTTCCGTCATTCTCATCTTTTCTTTTGGATAACCCGTCTGACATCATTTTCCATCATGGAGTGATCTGGAAATAACAAATCGAAAACAACTTTATAAGCACCAACACGAAACAATATGTAAAAACCAATAAATTGACTAATTCTTAATTCAACTGTAAATTGATGAAATCATTACAAAATCTGGACGATTACGAGGTAATCCTTGAAAAAAGTACAAGGAAAATTGGTTTAATGTTGCGGAAGGATAAGCGTCATCTGCTTCATCGACGATCCAGTCATGTTTAACATAGTTCAATCGAAGTAATATTAGTTATGGAAATGGGAGTCGGTTGTATAATGACACCAACACCCACGCTATTGGTTTCTGTGGCAATCACGTGTCCTTATGTTTATTCCTGTGATAGGTGTTGGTACGTGTATTCACTTCCAATAATTAAGTATCCAATGCTGGTAGAAATACTGTGTATTTATACTTTCTGGTATGATACATGGTATGTTGTTGTATCCTTCCTGTGCAAATCTTCAATCATTTCATAGACACCGAAGCAACCTGATATTGCCCACGTCCTTGTCTTTTTACTGACTCCCTCTTCAGCCGATGCTAACACCTGGACGTATTAGGTGATTAAATTATTCAAAAGAATCAAAAAGAGTCGGAGCCCAAGTTTGCCACGCAGGGCAGTTTTAAGACAAGTATAATGTGTCTCGAGCTTAGGATCTTTTAATGAGTTTATCGTTTCACACAGCAAAGCTTAGAAAGTTTAGAAAGGAAAGTGCTTGGCCACACGTCACTTGTGTCTTTTTGGGACGAGATGCAACTTCTGGGTCATGTTCCTTATCCGCCACTGAAGCTACACTAACTGGGATAAGAGACGATGAGGATCTAGAAAGATTAATATAGCTATGATGACAAGAATGCGCTGACGGCAATGTCGGACACGCGCGTTACTGAAAGTGTAAACTCTGACCTCTCCCATCTTTCACCAATCCACCAAATGAAAGAAATACAATTAGATATTATTTGTAATCTTAACCCCTTTCACAAATTCACGGATGAGACGTCGGATCACCATGGACCGTCAATCCGTGGAAGTCCGTGGCAATCCGTCATTACCGTGTATGGACCGTGAATGCATCCGGCGATATCCGGGTACGTCAATCTGATCCGACGAAAAAAAACAAAAAAAAAACAGGCTTAAAGCCCCTTTCACACATTCACGAATTAGACGCCGGATCATCAAGGATTGAAAAAAATATCATCCAGTACGATCTGGCGTTTTAATGTCCTGTCACATATTGATGCCGGTGTCAACATGGTTTGAACACGACGCTAACAAGAATAACGCCGATCACTCTACGGATAATCACGGTAGCTACCCGGCGTATGTGGATCAAGCCCTGGCTTCTCAGACGGCCAGTCTACGGCCAATATGAAAAATGAATGGCTGAATTGACCTTGGAAGATGTCAGTGGGTACTGGAATTTCCTGAGGATTGACCCGGACAGATTTCAATAAATGCTTGCTAGAGTTGAGCCCAGAATTCAAAAGCAAGATACATTTTGGAAGAAGGCACTAGAACCTTGGTTAAAGCTTGCTATAACCCTGCGTTATTTAGCTACAGGTAACAGTTACATGTTTCTGAAATATGGTTTTAGGGTTGCCCATAATTCCATTCTCATCATTGAGGTTCGTGAAGTAATAATAGAGGAATATTCGGCTGAAGTTACGGTTTGTCAAACATCGGCGGAAGGTTGGCGGGAAGTGGCAGAAGGATTTCACAAACAAAATGAAACTTCTCCCATTGTGTAGGGGCCATTGATGGCAAGCATATTGCACTTAAATGCCCACAAAATGCTGACTCACTCTTTTATAACTATAAAGAGTTTCACTCCATTGTCCTCATAGCATTAGTCGAACCAGAACCCCTACCAAACGATGACCGACTCATGCCTTTTTTCGTTGTTGGAGATGATGCATTCGCGCTTAAAACCTGGATGATGAAGCCCGTGCCTCACAGAAACATGTCATTGGAAGAAAGGATTTTTAATTACCGACTATCAAGAGCTCGATGGGTAGTCGAAAACACATTTGGACTTCTAGCATTTAAATTCAGGTGTCTTCTTACAACAATGACTCAAAGTCCGGCAGAGTCAGCACCATAACACTAACTTGTTGCGTGCTGCATAATATCCTGAGGATAGAAACCCTACTTTGGATGTAAATAATGTTGACCATGAAAACCTTGAAACCCATGAAACAATTCCAGGAGTATGGAGAGAAAATGCAAATTTGCCGGATACCGCTGGCTGCCTTCTTCTCAAACAGCCACATCTTCTACTTTGTAACTTTGTAATCTTTCAGGCACTTGTTGTTTAATATTTCAAGGCCCCAGTACCAATCTGCAAGATCATGCTCCTGTTCTTCTGTCAGAACCAAAGGCTCTCGTTTCTTTCTCTTTACTTGCCTAGTATTATTCATATTTACTTCGTTTTCGCAGTCCATTACTTTTACACCACCGCTTGCCTCGGTCACATCATCGTGTACTGGTGCTGCCCCATTAACACTCTTTTGGACTTCCTCGTTCACGACATCTTGTTGTGGTGTTTGTTCAATGATATTTGGTGTTTCTGTGTGGATATTTTGATTTGAATCATCCAGTTCAGATGAATCATCTCTGCGTGCATCTGAAGCAGTCGGCGATGACGAAACTGTTGATACATCACTTGCAGTTTTTGTGGACAAATTGTCTCTTCTGACATTTCGTTTTTAGGCGGCTTTGTGGTTGGAAGCTATTATCTGTTTCGAGAGTGAAGAGAGAAAGACGGTCTTCAAATACGTGCATTGCTCCCCTGCTCATAATAACTGTAGGTAAACCGTGTACATTCGTATAAAAACCACAGTCTTTCCGGCATCTACGGAAACACACCGTATTGATACCGGTGGTGTCCGTACTTACTCCGTGCTCACACCGTGACTGAACGTGTAGCGTCCGGGTTCAAACCGTGTATAATCCGTAGACATCCGTGGTCTTCCGTAGAACATAAACGTACACGGATGGCCCCGGACGTTACAAGGATACTTCGGTGCCAACACGGATCACCCGGTTGCAACACGGATATACACAGAGTCTACATGATGACTAAAATTGGTCCCGGATGATAAAAAATTTTAATCCGTGATGAGCCGTGAATGTGTGAAAGGGCCTTTAGTTTTCAGTCGTACATACTTATATAAATATTCCTTAAGCAAAAATAGTTTATCTTTGTATTTCAATTTTCATCTTTATAATTAATAGTGCAGTTTTCCATTATATATTTTTTTAATACTTTTTTTTATGTATATCTACGTCAGTAACTGATTGTTTTTTTTCCACTTATGAGAGAGTTGTAAATCTAATGAACGGTCTACATCCTCTGATCGAATTTCTATAAATAGTCCCAGATAGTGTAATCATGCACTTGGTAACTATAACTACATATTAAATAATGTTAGACACATTTTTATGTAATGATGTATGTAATTGACACAAGAATGACGCCTCTTTCAAATACTTATTGTCTCTATCAGCTTTCTGTGAATCACAGTAATTATCAACATATGCAAATCATTTTCCAAGTAATTACTGTCGACCCAGTTCGCTGGTTAATCATCTATACTTAATCAAGTATAATACATGTATTGTGTCTAATTTTATTCTATTGTTCGCATTTAGCCATACTATACGAACGTCTGTTCTATTACATTTAGCTTTGTGTTAAGTCTAGATTGAGTTGGTGAAGTCCCAATATGTTTAATTATGAAATGAAATTAACTGATCTACAATCTATCCAAGACGATATCGTGCGTTGGTATCTGTATAAAAGCTCTCGATAGCCACATGCCCGATTTACGGTCTTTGCCTAACCGAAGCTGGAAAATATCTTTTCGGAATTTACTTAAACATTTACACATCCTTTTTATTTAGACTTCAAAGCGAACCCTCGAATGACTATTATACATTGAAACTGTGATGATTTTCCTTATTGTGAATTTTCCATTTCTGGATAGCTATATTTTTACATCCCCAACAATGTTACCTTTTCTATAATTCCGAAGATACATTGCACATTGAGATGACATTCTACCACGTACTAAAGATGTGTAACAGAACAGGGAAAATACACATTTCCTAAATCTCAAACCGAGACAGATTATTTTGGGCAGTAATTGCCGCAATGCATGTGAATGTGGATGATTAAATTATAGGGCACTCGCCACTGGAATTAGTTATTGAAAATGTGCATTGGAAAAGAAATAATTATTTCTTTTATTTCCCCCCAAGTGTGAAGAGTTGTACAAAAAGAACATACATTGACATTACTGAAAGTAATAGTGCGTTTGTACACAAATATACACATAAGAAGCATTTAAATTAGTATAAAGTAAACAGTATACACAGAGTTTACGTACGTATATTGTATACATACAACAACTCCTATAGTTAAGAATACAAACGCGTGAAGTAAGCGTTTTCCATATGGAACGATATAATATAAAGAAAAGTTATATAGTAAACACATATACATACAAGAATCATTTCAATTACATACAAAGTAAACAATAGACACAGAGTTTACGTGTGTATATTGTATACATACAACAACTCCTATAGTTAAGAATATAAACGCGCGAAGTAAGCGTTTTCCATATGGAACGATATAATATAAAGAAAAGTTATATAGTAAACACATATACATACAAGAATCATTTCAATTACATACAAAGTAAACAATAGACACAGAGTTTACGTGTGTATATTGTATACATACAACAATTCCTATAGTTAAGAATATAAACGCGCGAAGTAAGCGTTTTCCATATGGAACGATATAATATAAAGAAAAATTATATAGTAAACACATATACATACAAGAATCATTTCAATTACATATAAAGTAAACAATAGACACAGAGTTTACGTGCGTATATTGTTTACATACACCAACTCCTATAGTAAAGAAAATAAACGCACGAAGTACCATATCAAGATATGTATTTATTATGGGAGGTCGGAATTTACTTAAACATTTACAAATCCTATTTATTTAGACTTCAAAGCGAGCCCTCGAATGACTATTATACATTGAAACTGTGATGATTTTCCTTATTGTGAATTTTCCATTTCTGGATAGCTATATTCTTTCATCCCCAACAATGTTACCTTTTCTATAATTCCGAAGATACATTGCACATTGAGATGACATTCTACCACGTACTAAAGATGTGTAACAGAACAGGGAAAATACACATTTCCTAAATCTCAAACCGAGACAGATTATTTTGGGCAGTAATTGCCTCAATGCATGTGAATGTGGATGATTAAATTATAGGGCACTCGCCACTGGAATTGGTTATTGAAAATGTGTATTGGAAAAAAAAATAATATCATAATTCCAATAGCTGAGATCGAACACAAGGCCCTTGATTTTGGTATTTGGATACATCTCACTGAGATTACCTCTTTGAATTCATCGAAATAAAAAAAACAGTTTTTCCAATTTCATTGTCGGCCACATGCCAAATCTCTTCCGTATGCAGATTGGTCACGTTTTTTTTACGGCCATCTGAATTTCAGACAGCATCGGTGTGAACTGTAAGTGGGACCCAGTACAATTATTTTCATTTATTTTGATATCACCTCAAGGTATTTCTTAATTGATACCTATACTACACATTATACAAAAATATGTTTAATCTAACCTTTACTCTCGGAATTTTTCTGAATGTCGTAAATTTGCGTACATTGAAGCTTTAACGAAGGGGTTTCGTCACAGTTTCGTTTTCCGTGTGTAAAGCAGTGTATGACGATACAAATTCCGGAATGGACAGCGAATGTACATGACAGATCGCCATCATTATGTCTTACGATTGTGAACCAAGCCATCCGATACATTATATACGTGTATACTTGCCCTTAATAACAGTTTACCGAGGATAAATCCGTATGCTTAGACACAGACATATATATTTTAAGTCGTGCACGCGAGCGAATACACACAATAAAGAGGAACACAGTAAAAAGAGTGACTAACAAGTGGTGACGTTGATCAATGTCGACCTGTATTAATTTCTGGTAAGCGATAAACACCGAAGTGTTTGTTATCCATACCATATCTGTGAATTATAAAAGGTGATCACCGAGAGGCATTAGACTCTACTTACCAGACAACCATCCCAAGGCCTTTATGTCTTTTCTGTCTTTGCGGAAATAATGTTGACTAAAGTCGGGAACGGAGACGGCATTATATGATATACGGAACTGAGCGGATCCGGTAAAATAAAATGGGGAGATTTCTGATTAGTCAGTATCTTAACTTCCTTGGACAAAATATATATTCCTGTTTCTGTCTGAAAGACAGGTTCGATAGGTAGAGATTTTTAAAATAATTTATTCGTATTTTGTAAATACTGTTTGCTTGCTTTTGACATTGACTTATGAGGTACCATACCGGAATTGATGAGTGGATGGTGTAAACATATGTGTAAGTGTGTAAGTATTGTACATATATTATGAAATATTTATCATGTAGAGTATCTAAATCTGTAATGCTATTTGATTTCTGAAAAAGATGGTCTTTCCTGTATTACCAAGTCTAATTGGACAATGTTTTCGGGCACGTCTGTCTTTTACAAATTCAATCGCCAAAACCGATGATGTCATGGCGACCACTACCTTCATAGATAGGAGTCGGAAGAATGTTTTACTGTGATCTGTATAAATGTAAGGAAAGTGTCTAAAGTAATTTGCCTCGAGTTACTAGTACTGCTAGGGATTGCCAACAACAATTATTTTCTTAATTTTTTTAATTTTGCAACAAAAATTCTCCTGTATATATGGGTTCTGATCTTTATCAAATCATATTATGATTTCAGACAAGAAGGGAATGCACAGGTTAAGAGGACAAACACAGTTATGGACAGAAATCTTTTTCAATTGTTCCACATGAATACAGGAGAATGGGAAATTTATAGAAATTCAGGGAGAGAGCCATTTGTATTTGTGCAATTTGTCTGTCCGCAACATTTTAATGCGTAACATAAATTATTGTATTAACTTTGTAATGTCTTGCGCGTGCCTTGAATGTGTTTTATGTACCAGTATTTTGTCACTGGTTTTGACTCGACAACTTTGTATCTTACCCGGAATTAGATATATTTCTGTTATGTTCTTGGTTACACTCTTTTTAATGCACACTTATATTACTTTACATTCAGTCAAATTCTATCGCCAATCAAATGTCTGTTACATGCATAGTTCACACTGACAGCCATGGCTAATACTATAGGTGGGGTAACATTAAATCTAAACTTATGTTACAATTTCTATCTTAGCATGCGATACTTAGTAATTAAATAAAGTCCGTTTTATTCCGTTCCGTTCTCCGTTCAAAGATTTGTGGGATTTCCCGTTATCTATTTTAAGAACTGAACGCCTGAGCGGCCATTGTTTCTTATAATCTAGGCCTAGTGCTCATATCATGGATCACGTAAGTATATCTATTAATGTAATAGGCTGGTTGATTGATGTGTTATGCTTTATTAACAAAGTTGCTAGGTGTTGTAATATTCGAACAAAACTATTTGTTATTGCATTAATTAGCTATTACTAGAATTTTCTGTACACGTTTGTGCATACATTCAACACTTATGGCATGCAGGCACGTAGACTAATTTGCGACAACAGGGTACGGCTATGTCAGTCTAAAATGTTTGCCAATTGGTCCAATTCTGTGTGTTTTGAATGCAAAATATAGTATGCGCAATCGCTGATTTATCATTGCACAGTCACAATTCGTGGAATAGAAGTTTCTGTTTTGAATGACTAGAAGTTGTGTGTAAGAAGGTACGCCGTGAATACCAGTGTTAAGTATGAATTGTCCAGGTATTATGTGACACACAATTATAAGTACGTATACTGTAGGTCAGTACTGCTTGCTCGTGACATTCAGTTAAAGTTGAGACGAGATCATGTTGTTGTTGCTTGTGGCTACTGCGCTGAACAAACTGCAGGATGTCCTTTGCATGCCACCCAGAACAAATAGGATAAATTGTCGATATATTTAATTCTTCCCTGTTCTTGTATATACTCTCAATCTTACTTTATACATATGTATTAAACTGTGAACAATAAATAATGTATTTTCATGAGACTTTTCTTTCAACTCTACAGCTAAACATAATGGGTCCCTCGATGTACATTTTTAAAAGATATTTCCAGGAATTCTACGAGTCACATCAAATTTCATAGAAATTTATCACAGGTTAAGTCTGTGGTAAAATCTGGGTCAGGCCTACAGGCAGATATACTGACACTCTCCGTACAGACTAAATGTGTTTAGCTGTTGTAACAGTACTTGTGTTTATCACTTGCACACGTACACTTGCCTCATATCTTCCTGTTCCCTACAGAATGAATCACACAGGAAGAAAATATTCAATAGAAATTTAGTTTACGTATAACTACAATTGTATCTACTCTATGCGTTTATAAACTTTTCGTTCGTGTATTTCCTTACCTGATTTGCATGATCTTTGTTTATCAGTAAATGGAACGCTTCCAAACCTCCTGATAGTAACTTTGTATAACAAAGTTATCAACGGATATTAACTTTGTGTTGTACCATGTCCATTGTTTCACAGTGTATACCATGTCCATTGACGCACAGTATATACCATGTCCATTGACTCACAGTGTATACCATGTCCATTGACTCACAGTGTATACCATGTCCATTGACTCACAGTGTATACCATGTCCATTGTTTCACAATGTATACAATGTCCATTGACTCACAGTGTATACCATGTCCATTGTTTCACCATGTATACAATGTCCATTGACGCACAGTATATACCATGTCCATTGACTCACAGTGTATACCATGTCCATTGACTCACAGTGTATACCATGCCCATTGACTCACAGTATATACAATGTCCATTAACTCGCAATATATACAATGTCCATTGACGCACAGTATATACCATGTCCATTGACTCACAGTATATATTATTTCCATTGACTCACAGTATATATTATGTCCATTAATTCACAATATATATTATGTCCATTAACTCACAGTATATACCATGTCCATTGACTCACACTATGTACCATGTCCATTGACTCACAGTGTATACAATGTCCATTGACTCACAATGGTCACAAAGTTCTTTTTTCCACTCCTTGTTATCTATGTAGCAAAGTAAACTAAATTTAAAGCGGTTTATTTCTCTTGACTTGAACAACATATAATTAATTGGTTTTAAAACAAACATAAATTCGTAGAGACTACATAGAGGACCTTTTGTAAGTTGATGTTACTCCATCAGTATGTGGCAATTTTAAGTCTTTATGGTAGCGGCGGCACCGTTGAAGTGACTGTCCGACTTGTGTGATTGTTACGAATCTGTGTGATTTGTTACCATCCGACATCGTTACCGTTCTGTGTGATTTGTTACTATCCGACATCGTTACCGTTCTGTGTGATTTGTTACCATCCGACATCGTTACCGTTCTGTGTGATTTGTTACCATCTGACATCGTTACCGTTCTGTGTGATTTGTTACTATCCGACATCGTTACCGTTCTGTGTGATTTGTTACCATCCGACATCGTGACCGTTCTGTGTGATTTGTTACCATCTAAGATTGTTACCGTTCTGTGTGATTTGTTACCATCTGACATCGTTACCGTTCTGTGTGATTTGTTACCATCCGACATCGTTACCGTTCTTTGTGATTTGTTACCATCCGACATCGTTACCGTTCTGTGTGATTTGTTACCATCTAAGATTGTTACCATTCTGTGTGATTTGTTACCATCTTACATCGTTACCGTTCTGTGTGATTTGTTACCATCCGACATCGTGACCGTTCTGTGTGATTTGTTACCATCTAAGATTGTTACCGTTCTGTGTGATTTGTTACCATCTGGCATCGTTACCGTTCTGTGTGATTTGTTACCATCCGACATCGTTTCCGTTCTGTGTGATTTGTTACCATCCGACATCGTTACCGTTCTGTGTGATTTGTTACCATCTGACATCGTTACCGTTCTGTGTGATTTGTTACTATCCGACATCGTTACCGTTCTGTGTGATTTGTTACCATCCGACATCGTGACCGTTCTGTGTGATTTGTTACCATCTAAGATTGTTACCGTTCTGTGTGATTTGTTACCATCTTACATCGTTACCGTTCTGTGTGATTTGTTACCATCCGACATCGTGACCGTTCTGTGTGATTTGTTACCATCTAAGATTGTTACCGTTCTGTGTGATTTGTTACCATCTGGCATCGTTACCGTTCTGTGTGATTTGTTACCATCCGACATCGTTTCCGTTCTGTGTGATTTGTTACCATCCGACATCGTTACCGTTCTGTGTGATTTGTTACCATCTAAGATTGTTACCGTTCTGTGTGATTTGTTACCATCCGACATCGTTACCGTTCTGTGTGATTTGTTACCATCTAAGATTGTTACCGTTCTGTGTGATTTGTTACCATCCGACATCGTTACCGTTCTGTGTGATTTGTTACCATCCGACATTGTTACCGTTCTGTGTGATTTGTTACCATCTAAGATTGTTACCGTTCTGTGTGATTTGTTACCATCCGACGTCGTTACCGTTCTGTGTGATTTGTTGCCATCCGACATCGTTACCGTTCTGTGTGATTTGTTACCATCCGACATCGTTACCGTTCTGTGTGATTTGTTACCACCCAGGTATTGGCTGGTATTTTAACTTCATAGTAAAATCCCTTGTGTTCTGCATAAAAAGCTGTTTTAACATCAATGAGATATTTACCGGTTATTGGACAATATACATAAACCGAAACCAGGAGGTAAATTAGGAGTCGATATCACTGACTTCAGTTAATAAGAATCTGCGTGTCATGTCGGTATTTTCGCCTTCATGACATATATCACAACATGCGCTCAATTTCATTCATTCCCCTTGTAGCAATGCAATGCTTTATATATATTAACCTTATTTGTATATACTTTACAGTTAAATGAAATTTTGTTTCCATTTTTATTATTATTAGCTCCAAAAATACGAATTTGTGAAACTCCTTTTTTTCTGTAACTGACGTTACGAAAAGTAGCGGGTTATGCTGGTTCATACCGAATGGATGAAATCTTCTCAACTGACTTTTCTATAATGTTGGAATATTTCTAAGTGGAGACTAAAATAAGGCCCTGAGGGTATGGATATCTAAAGGATTTAAAGGCGCGTTTCATTTCGTTTTAATTGCACACGCTTTATTCTACAACTCTGAAAGAACGAGTTGTCACTTAAAGAACCGATCAGAAATATGTTAAGGTGATAGAGTGTGATTGGGTTACACGTAACTTTGCCAACACATGAGATGTTATTGTTTTTTCAGGGTGATACAAGAGACTGAAGGATGGCGGACGCTGAAGGCGACGCGAGTGCGGTGACGGAGGAGTGCGCAATATGTATGAACGTATACAGAAGGCCAAAACTGCTATCGTGCAGGCACACGTTCTGTAGTATATGTATTAAAAAAATCCATTCGTCGTCAAAAAACCCACGCAAAATCCCTTGTCCAGTATGTCGTCAGGTGACAGAATTGCCAGTGGAAAGCGATGTGGATTCATTACTGTCAAACTTCTTTGTGCAAGCTTGTGATATGTATGTTTGCGACTCATGTGATGCAATGAGCAAAGTAGGTCTGATGGAGTGTTCATCTTGTTCCTTTTCTTTGTGTAAGCCATGTTTTGAAAATCATGAAATGGGTGACGATGGCTGCAACAACAAGCGTCGTGATTCTGATGATATGGCCGAGCCTACTCTATATCCGGATGACCCTTCCATGAGATTCACTATACGCCACCTGTTAAATGGCATCATTCGCTCTTGTTATTGCGGCAATTTGTATGGTGACTTCAGTGTTCCAGGAGCTGGGCGTGTTACTAAAGTTGTACCCATTTCTGCATATAGTGCCTGGGTATTGTTGGACAATGGACCTGTTGTGTTTAGATTTAACTTATCTGGACAATTAGAGGACAGGCGTACTGTCGATTTTGGTGAAACACTAGATATATGTTGGAACGAGAAAACTGACTTGCTTGCTGTTTGCAAAGGAGTCGCCTCCGTATTAAAGGTTAGTTCATCCGGATCAGATGTGTTTATTGATACAGGAACTTACCAGCCAACCTCACTATGCAACTATAGAAATGATGGCTTTGTTATTGGCGCTTTAGATGTGGATTCAGAGGTCACTGCAAGCTACATTATGGTATATGACTCGGACAAGAATCTTGTCTATATCCGGGGGATTAATGAGCGCCTGACGTTTAAACGAATTAACTCCGTTTCATACAATGATTTTACCCGACAGGTGTGTGTTGCTGATGAGGAGCGGAGCATGGTGTACTTGTTAGGAAACGGAATGGCGTGCGAAACCTACAAAAAAAAATTGGCTTTTCCGACGCGAAGCCGACCTATGGAGATAGAGAGACCTGACCGATTCACTCCAACGTCCATTTGCTGTGACCAGGATGGAACAATATTCGTTTACGACTATTCCACATCGTCTATTCACGTGCTCAATGCAAATGGCAAACTGTTGGGTATGCTGCTTGGCAGTGATGAGGATCACACGGGTGATCCGGCATGCATCACTTTCGGCCCTGATGGGAAATTATGGATCGGTGATATGTTTTCGGGACAAATAAGAATATACACTGTTGATCAAGTATTCAACGGTCTCAGACAGCGATCAGTACGTATGCAGAGACACAGAACTCTGGAAAGTGGTGAAGGGCTGCATGGGGTACTTGGAAGGGTGCTAGGCAACGCAGCACTTTGCGGATCCGAGGAACTCTCTCTGGATGATTTAAACCAGATGTTTTCGGACCATGAACAGGGTGGTGACATATTAGATTTGCTTTCTGAATACCGTTTAAATGGCATGCCTTCAGTCTCTGTGGTACACGGGAGAAATGGCATAGAAATAAATTCTACGCAGAATCCTAATGATCCCATGGCGAATCGGCAGGCGCGGAGGGCGTTTGCATTTCAAGTTCTAAACGACCCTCAGACACAATCCCGTTTTGAAGCAGATGGGATTAGTGTAGAGGAAGTACTTCGCGCCTGTACAGAAGCCGATGATTTGTAAACAGCATTATTTTAAACGATATAGATTAGTTATAAGATATTTCTAGCATGTAAAATTTCTGCACTTTGTTTATATGATTACCTTTAAAACTTTATTTGATATCACGTTTATTTTGTATTTTGGCTCGATTTCTCCGTATGTTCGAGCTACGGAATATATCTTGTAAATTTATAAAAATGTATATTTGTTTTGTGCCTTGTACTGAACGTCTGTTTGCCAAAGTGAATTCTCTTTGCCAAGATGCATTCTGTTTGCCAAAGTGAATTATCTTTGCCAAGATGTGTTCTGTATTCCAAAGTGAATTCTCTTTGTCAAGATGTGTTCTGTTTGCCAAAATATGTTCTGTTTGCCAAAGTGAATTCTCTTTGCCAAGATGTGTTCTGTTTGCCAAAGTGAAATCTCTTTGCCAAAATGCATTCTGTTTGCCAAAGTGAATTCTCTTTGCCAAGATGCATTCTGTTTGCCAAAGTGAATTCTCTTTGTCAAGATGTGTTCTGTTTGCCAAAGTGAATTCTCTTTGCCAAAATGCATTCTGTTTGCCAAAGTGAATTATCTTTGCCAAATTGCATTCTGTTTGCCAAAGTGAATTCTCTTTGCCAAGATGCATTCTGTTTGCCAAAGTGAATTCTCTTTGTCAAGATGTGTTCTGTTTACCAAAGTGAATTCTCTTTGCCAAGATGTGTTCTGTTTAAAACACAAACCAATGTGAATTCTCTTTGCCAAGATGCATTCTGTTTGCCAAAGTGAATTCTCTTTGTCAAGATGTGTTCTGTTTACCAAAGTGAATTCTCTTTGCCAAGATGTGTTCTGTTTAAAACACAAACCAAAGTGAATTCTCTTTGTCAAGATGTGTTCTCTTTGCCAAAGTGAATTCTCTTTGTCAAGATGTGTTCTGTTTGCCAAAGTGAATTCTCTTTGCCAAGATGTGTTCTGTTTACCAAAGTGAATTCTCTTTGTCAAGATGTGTTCTGTTTGCCAAAGTGAATTCTCTTTGTCAAGATGTGTTCTGTTTGCCAAAGTGAATTCTCTTTGCCAAGATGTGTTCTGTTTACCAAAGTGAATTCTCTTTGCCAAGATGTGTTTCTGTTTACCAAAGTGAATTCTCTTTGCCAAGATGTGTTCTGTTTAAAACACAAACCAAAGTGAATTCTCTTTGCCAAGATGCATTCTGTTTGCCAAAGTGAATTCTCTTTGTCAAGATGTGTTCTGTTTACCAAAGTGAATTCTCTTTGTCAAGATGTGTTCTGTTTGCCAAAGTGAATTCTCTTTGTCAAGATGTGTTCTGTTTGCCAAAGTGAATTCTCTTTGCCAAGATGTGTTCTGTTTACCAAAGTGAATTCTCTTTGCCAAGATGTGTTCTGTTTACCAAAGTGAATTCTCTTTGCCAAGATGTGTTCTGTTTACCAAAGTGAATTCTCTTTGCCAAGATGTGTTCTGTTTAAAACACAAACCAAAGTGAATTCTCTTTGCCAAGATGCATTCTGTTTGCCAAAGTGAATTCTCTTTGTCAAGATGTGTTCTGTTTACCAAAGTGAATTCTCTTTGCCAAGATGTGTTCTGTTTAAAACACAAACCAAAGTGAATTCTCTTTGTCAAGATGTGTTCTGTTTGCCAAAGTGAATTCTCTTTGTCAAGATGTGTTCTGTTTGCCAAAGTGAATTCTCTTTGCCAAGATGTGTTCTGTTTACCAAAGTGAATTCTCTTTGCCAAGATGTGTTCTGTTTACCAAAGTGAATTCTCTTTGTCAAGATGTGTTCTGTTTGCCAAAATGAATTCTCTTTGCCAAAATGCATTCTGTTTGCCAAAGTGAATTCTCTTTGCCAAGATGTTTTCCGTTTATCAAAATGTATTATCTTTGCCAAAATGAGTTATATGTTGTACATCTTTTTATCAAAGTACATTTTTATGAGTCATGTGTTAACGGCTTTTTGCCAAAATGTGTGGTTATGAGTCATGTGATGTAACTGCTGCTTGACAGAAAAGGTACGTTTGTTTACAATCTATGTTAAATCAGGATGATAACAGCGGTATATTGTACATTTGATCAGCATTACAGCATTATTAAAAGAGTTTTTGTAAGTCCGCGAAATGAAAATAAACGTTACTGATTTGTTAACATACGTCTCTGTACCTTGTTACACTCCGAAACCGGAACTAGTGAAAGTTATGTTTCATCTTTACTGTCAGTTCAATCTGACAGAAGCATTAAATAACATAATCAGCATATAAATCCTTTAATATCAAATGGTACTTTGTTTGATATTTGCCAAGGATTCGGGTTGTTCAGAAGGTTGTCGTTAGGTTTCAACTATATCGTAGGCCTGCGTAGAGCGGTCACTTTACTGCTTCAAATTTCTCTTGAAAAATTAGCTACCATTTTTATGTGAAAAATAATATGCCAGATTCCTCTTGATTACTTCTGATGTCAACCCACGGAAAGACAAGTAGTTCTGAATGACAACATGTCTGAGAATTCAAAATATAGCAACATATACAGTTCCAATATCTTTTTGGAAAGTGTGGAGGGATGATGGAATGGCCCATCTCCACTGAGGCTTGCAGCGCCCCCTCTGATGTTTGCCGAGTGTCTTCAGCTTAAAATGATATAGATTTGAGAACAAGTTGTGCAGCAACGGAACCAACAGGCAAACTAACCAACCTCAATCAAAATCGTGATAATGGGAACAAGCCCTTGAATAACGAATCAGTTATGACATGTAAATACCTTAGGTTGGGGATGCAGGGATATTGCTATCCAGAAATGGAAAATTCACAATAGGGAAATTGAAATCATCACGTTTATCATACAACTTGTTGGAAAGCTGTTCATATTGGTTTCGTTGTAGGAAATGATCGCTATAGACACCTGATGCAAAAGAGTCTGTCATGTCCTTGAATTCCATTTTTGATGGGTATATACAATGGACGTGATCAATAAGTCTCCTGTTATTCAAAGACGAGACGTCAACAATATATCTGAAAGTGAAATTAAACAACTTTGTAAGGTCTATGTGACTCAATAAATTTAGTATCGTATGAAAAGAAAAAACGAGTCGGCCAACAGGGAGGTATCCCAATATTCTGTTGGAAGATCTTACCACCAAACTCAACGGATTTGTTGCCAACCAGAAACTCGATAATTTTTATTATGATTTCTTTTATTTCCTCCAGGTGTGAAGAGTTATACAAAAAGAACATATATACATTGACATTTCAGAAAGTAATAGTGCGTTTGTACACACATATACACATAAGAAGCATTTAAATTAATACAATGTAAACAACAGACACAGAGTTTACGTACGCATAATATATATACAACAACTCCTAAAGTTAATAAAATAAAATCATTTAAGGTAATCCTTACGGTGAAATCCAATACATATTACAATCATATGATTTAAGACGTAAATATTTCATTTTGAAGTCAAAATTACCAAACATTACAATTAAATAGCATGATAATGTTAAAGGTTTCTGATGACGAAAACTATTGAATTTAATCTAAAATCCTCTAGTTCAAATAGGGATATACCGTAGTTGATAATACCCCCGAGGAGAACATGTATTATTTAATAGTTAGACAATTCATTAAGGTAAACTACAAAATCTATGTCTTTCACTGTGCTGAGTAAGCACCAGAGCTGGTCTCGTAAACTCTCTGTGTGAGAGCATTCGAGCACGTTATGAAAAATGATATCTTTATACATGAAGCCACAGTAGTGACACAGGTAAGTATTTTCATTTTCGCTCATTTCAACGCTTAGTTACAAAAATAAACACGATGTTGAGGAAAACGACGAGCTAGTTTCCAAACCGGGTAAGAATGTATATTGTTATGTAAGAGAATAAATCGAGAAAAATCACAATCTACCTACATTCTTTCACATAATCTAGTTTCTTCATATTTTCTAATATGACCATTAATTAAAATCTTCCATTGTGATTTGTTAGGAAATACACCATTTTTCATGAATTCAATAAGAACATAGTACAAATTGTGTGCGTGTGTTTTTTTTTAAAGAATATAAACAATATCAGGCACAAATCCTCTACTAAAATGGGTCAGACTGAATTCAAATAACCGTTTAATAAAAAATCTCGCGTGTTAAATAACCTACATGCATTAAACAAATTCTACCAAGAAATTGCATTTTCTTAATACTGATATATACTTCAATTGAAAACCACCCAAGCAAAGATGTACACATATCCGTTCTAGGTCTTAAATTGAAACCTTGAATTGATTTAACAATGAAATTCTGTGCCTTTTCTAACATATAAATTTCTCTTGGCTTTAATTGCCACAATTCACAACCATACAATGCTGAAGGATAAACTTTAGACTTGACTATTTTTGCAGTAGTTAGGGGATTGAGCGTATATGGGTGTGCCCCAGAACGAATCAAAGACATCACTCCACACTTCAACTGAGAGCAAGTGCGTTCTGTGCGTTCGATATTACTATTTTTGCTGTTCAACAAAACACCAACATGTGTAATACTTTCAACAATTGGTAATTTAGAATCATATAGAGTCACATCACATGATACAATTGATTGTTTTTTGGAAGTGAAAACAAGGATCTTAAATTTAGCGGAAGAAAAAGTAAATCGCCACTTTCGGCTGTATAACTCACAAACTGAGAGTAAATGTTGTAAATTGTAAACGTTGTTACTAACAAGACATATCATCGGCTTGTGTGGGTATATTGACACGTGAAGGTAACACTACTGACCCTTTTCCGCTAGATTCAACATTATTTAACAGATCATTTATAAAAACCAAATACAATTTCGCAGATAACGACCCACCTTGTAAAATCCCTCGCTTCATAGTTATATAATTTTACTTAAAACCGTTGAAAACGACTCGACTGGTAAAATGAAAGTACATCTGATACATAATATTCCAAGCATTCCCTTTAATACCCAAGTTGTAAAGGTTATAGAATAGCCGGTCTTGCCAAACACAATCGGTTTGGTATTCTAATTTCAAAAATTGCGTTAACCACGACCTCACTTCAGCCGTTCCCGCCAAAAATCTGGAAATTCAAAATGGCCGCCACAAAACATGATTTCGTCCATGAAATCCCTCTAAGTGCCCCGATTTCAATGATCTTGATGTCTATACCTATGTTTTGGAGGTCAAAGAATCTAATAAAACACATGTCAAGACTTATACAGTTTTCCTTCAAATGTATAGTAAAACAAATGTCATAATTCGAATCGATTAGGTAATAAAATGACTTTGATTCGTTCTGGGGCACACCCATATACGCTCAATCCCCTAACTACTGCAAAAATAGTCAAGTCTAAAGTTTATCCTTCAGCATTGTATGGTTGTGAATTGTGGCAGTTAAAGCCAAGAGAAATTTATATGTTAGAAAAGGCACAGAATTTCATTGTTTAATAATGTATATCTCTGTTTTTTAAACACAGGAAAGCGTCCATGAAGTAATGGTCATCTAGTCAATCATCTACCATGTCTAAAAAACTTAAACTCGCTCCTCGTGAATGTGCTTCATTTGTTCAACCGACTAACTGAGACATTTGTGCTCTGTGTCAAGAACATGGTGGAAAACTCATAAACCCATCAGCAACAGGTTACTCGTCTCTGGCAACTAATTTATCTGCCTTTTATGAATTGAAAATGGTGCCCTTTAATATAAACGTATCCCGACTTGATGATGGTGATGGCATGGAAAAGACTATGTCAGAGCATAAAGCACGATGGCATAAACATTTTTACGTCCTGTGTAATGCTGCAAAAGTCGGGACTGAGAAGTGTCAACAAATTAGTGCAGACTCACTAGCAGTAGCGGAGGTGGTGACATATATTGAGGA